TTTAGAATGGCAACCTGTAAAACCATAAACTGGAGTCCTAAATTTTAACGATCAGGTCACAAACAACAAACATCGCAATTTTGGAACTGAAACAAAAATTTTCAGCTCAACTCTACAAAATGCCTATTTGAACCAATTTTTAGGCCCAAATGATCAAAAACTGATCTCTTTGCAGCTTCAATTACGAAAACAGTGAGAGAACTAAGACTGTTTAAGAACTAAGCGCGCTGTCAAGCTTTGTACTTAGGGGAGTTTTGTTCGGGTAAAAATGTTTTAAGGTTAAATTGCTCAGACACACGTAAAACACTCCAAACGGAATTTAGACAGGACTAATTGACGAAAAATTCTTCTAAAGCAAAGCATTTTTACATAAAACTTTTGAGTTCAAAAATTAAAAAGTGAAGACGCAAATGCGCAATTGTCTAATAATTTGACTATTCCATTGTGCAACTACGGCGTAAAAGTTGATCTATTTTCTTCCCTAATTTTCCACTCGTAGATGTTCAATTGTAGCATTATAAGAAAACCATGTTAACTTCAAATAGAAATAAAAACAAATGTGCCAGGAAAACGAGTGAAAAATTCTGTCGATTGAATTTATTCTACTAGTGTTGAAATAAAGTTTTTTTATCTGTTGCTAATAAAAAGTATTTAGGGCCAGTTTCGAATCATTGGGCTTTTTTTCCGCAAAAAGAGATATAAACCGTAAAAACTACAAATTTAAAAATTTTTGACAAATAAATGATCAAAACCCACTAAATTGACTATGAAAAGCTCAAATAATTCGTCAAAAATGTTTTTTTTGTTTCCAAAATTTTCGATTTTGACCACAAAAAATAGTTAAAAATGAAACAAAAAATGATTTATAAAAAAACGTGCCAATTTATTGTAATCATAGACACTCTGTGAATGTATTTAGAAAGGCTTTTATCACCAAAGATCAAAAATTACCCATTTTGAGAAAAGCCCAAAAACCTATTTTTGGCTCCCTAGGAAAAATGGAAAAATCGGGAAAAATGTTTTTATTCGGAAGCTGCAATCTTTTGTTTCCAATTTCTCGTTTTCCAGCAATAAATAACTTTTTACAGTCAATTATGGTGTTCTGAAGATTCCCTGTATTGGTTAATCAATTCGAATGAAGCTTCATTTTTCTGATACGCGTTGCTAAGGAAAAAACTGACCCGGCTCGTAGTATTGTCGAATCAATCCTCTTCTAAATTTTTATAAGAAAATTAATCCTGAAGTTAACTAGTCGGTTGATTAGACAGACATTTTAGGACACTTTTGAGGAATTTTTCTAAGATAGGAACTAAATGTCTAGGAGATAAAACTGCCCAGACACGCATAAAAAACTCACTCAATTCGGCAGACTAATAGATTCAATTACTGCGCTAAAAGAAACGAAGATATTGCGTGTGGAAGGTTTTTTAACTAATGAACAACCTTTTTTTACTAATTTCATTGTATCGGTTGATGAGGTGAAGGTTTTTCCTTTCTATTGCAAACGGTAAACACTTTAGGGCCAAAGTGAAATCATGTTTCATTTTATCAAAATCAACAGTATATGTTTGTCTTTTTCCTACAAAATTGGATACGCGAAAACCGCAATCGTGTTCCAATTTTTTATTTTCTATCAAAAGTAGTTCAATTTCTTGAGAGAAATTTACTGAATGGCAGTAGTTTTTTTGAAACTCTTCGAAAAATGCGTCAAATTTCTTCGATGCGTACTCGTGATAGAATATGTCATCCTCGTGGAATTTCAAAATAGCTGAGATATTTTCAGTTGATAATTGAAATTTTTCCGTGTGATGTAAACGTTTGACATATGCAAAGTCAGATAAAGGTAGGCACGTCATTTTGTGAAGGGCAACTAAACCTTCGTTGAAACGTTCAACGGGTATTATCAAATCGAATTCTTCAATAACTTTGCGAGCACATTTTTCAAATTTGTATCCAGCTCTTCCAAATTTGGTAGAACTCCTCAGTATAAAATAGGATATGTGTCCGTCGCCACGTGTAAATCCTTTCAAAGATCTGCTTTTGGTAGTTTCTAAAGTTTTTTCAAAGTTTTTTTGCGAGTACAGGTTCATTCGTTTTGTGTACTGAATCCAAGATACAATTTGGTTTTCAGGGTTTCGAACCGACGATAACCACAAAAATTCTCTCTTCGGAAACAGTTTTCTAAAATCTTCCAGAAAATCCAGCCCCGTGTGATTTAAAAGGAAACCGTAGTTTCTGAAATTGTTTTTTTAATTGATTGCATATTTAGTGGGACTTCGTATTTGTGGCAATGGACTGCTAATTGTAAGAGAACACCAAATAAATTTGTTCCTGCCACCTTTAAAGTTTTCAAAAACATTATTTTGTCCATTTTATTTTTGCAAAAATAATTTGCAGTATTTCCAGCTTTTGTATTCTTTGAGAATGGGTCGTAACCAGGATACCCATGGTCGAAAATTATCATAGACAAACTTTAGTTCCAGAAACGACAGTATTCATGAATAAAAAGCACAATAAACAACAGTAGAACTATACCGGTCAATAACTTAATTTTGACCATTTTAGTGAGCGCATATAAATGAAAACATTCTTTTTTGAAGGCTGGAGAAAGCAAGTTATAAGGGCTAGATGTTTAATATAATATCTTTAGTTAGTTCAATTGAAAAAAAAAACTGAAGAAAGGTATACCAGTCAGCTAAATAATTTTTAGCGCCTTTCAATCAAAAAGTTCATTTTTTACTTTTCTTTTAGCTTTGTTTGCATTTACTTTTTGAATGATGTGAAACAGCATGACTTTAAGACAGATAAATAAAGTTTATTTTTTTTTTACAAAATAGATGATTATTCATTATCATTAACTCGTAAAATACAACAGGATAATCTTATGAAAAAATGTTTATCCTACAATTACGATATATGAAAAAACGCTTATCCTAGAGTTTTTTAAACAATTTTCTGAGTCTATGAAACTGGAGGAAATTGTAGGATAAGCACTATTTCATATATGGAAATTGTAGGATAAGCATTTTTGGTCAACCCACGCTAAGATGCAGTTGAAATACTATCTACGATTTTAAAAAATTGCTTAACCGTTCTCAAATAAAGCAAGATATTTTTCGATGTCTTGACCAAAAATAATGTGAGCGACTTTTTCCAAATGCTCGAGCAAAATAACCACTGGAAAATATGTAAGATTTGAGTGGTTTGAGCGGTTTTTGAACGGTTTATCTTAAAAAACCGCTTAAAAACCGAGCAAGATTTGAACGGTTTTGAGCGGTTTTTTTAGATAACCGCTCAAACCGTTCAAACCTTGCGCGGTTTTTGAGCAGTTTTTTTAGATAAACCGTTCAAAAACCGCTCAAATCGCTCATTTTGAAGCAAGAATTTGAGCGTAATTGTCTAAAAAAACCGCTCACACCGCTCAAATCTTGCTTCAAATTATGTGAAAAATCTCGACTCGGGTATACCAAGACAAGTCATAAAACGACACCAGCCGACTCATCTGACGTTGCTGGCCAACTCAGATGCCGAATCATGTGTCGTTTCTGGTCGAATCATGTGTCAACCCTATGCTCTTGAATCGACCCAATTCCTCCCATTCACCCTCCCTAATCGCCCCATTTATTGACTGTTGCTGACTCATGGAGAGACTCTGTTCGTCTCATGTAACCTTCATGGTCGAATCATGGACTATAGTCAGTGGGAGTCACGTATAGACACTGGGCGCCTCATGGCCGACTCTACCCTACTCGTCCCTGGAGGACCCTGGAAGACTAATTCCTTCTTTTTCGACTCATGAATCAGCGACTTATCAATGATACTAATTGGTTTACATATCGGCCCTGGTCGACCCAAGTGGCAACTCTTATCGACTCATGAATCGACTGTGATCGAACCATGCACTCACCTTGGTCGACTCATTTACCGACTCATGTATCGACCCTGGTTGACTAAATCTTCTGGTCAACCTTCATGTCTTTGGTCGAGAATGGGACGCTAGGAGAAGAGTATTACGGGTCCGACAACCCCTCGCGTTTGTGAGAGTAAAAAAGATTAAAAATCTAACGCGATTAATGAACTCATTTTTAATAAGAAGTTGGAATTTTTAATCAGATTTCAAGTTGGGCTCATTCAGTGTTTTTTTTAACATGGCCTCAATCAGCGTGTCCTAACAAAGTGGTACTAATTTTAACCCACTGAAGGGAGGGGGTTGTGTTTTATTTTTTTTTGTTTTCGTTTCGTTTTTCTTTTCAGCAAAGTCAAGCACCACAAAAAACTTTCAGAATTGGCCGATGAATCTATCATGTTAAAGCCCTTTCAGTTCAAATCGACCAATGTCTAGAAAAATTTAAAACGTTTTCTCATTGTATAGGAAAACCGGTTTGAAATTTTTTCTTTTTACTTTTATTTCGAGCTATGTTTTGGCTATTGTTTAGGCTTTCATAGGTGTTACACTAGCACAAAACAATTTGATTTAAGCCTTGAAAACAAACTTCTGAAGCTTCATTCAGGCAAAAAAGCGCTTCTTCGGCAGTAATTGTTTTCAAAGCTAAAAATTGCAAAAAAAAAAAATTTCATGTTTTGAATAATTTTTGCAGTCTTATATGGCTCTTTGCTCATATTGTATTCGTTCGCTTAGTTTCTCTCATAATACCATGCACAAAAAACGACAACTTTTAAAAAAAAGTTTGTCTTATTAATGTGGTCGGAACTTTCTGGGCTTGCACAGTAACCACCTACACTTCTATTTCTGCTATTTGTAATAACGAAAGTTCAAGTTTTGATTTCAATGAGTTTAAAATCTACTAAGCACTTTTATTAATAAATAAACAACAAAAACTAGCACTGAAAATTTACAAAGTTTGTTAGGACAGACGATTTTTTTTTCATAAATGTTTTCTTAAAACTGATGTCAAGCAACAACGAAGTAAACAAAATCAAAAATTGAGATCAAATCAACATTTTTAGCTGAAATTGAGCCATCACAGCTGCATGATTTTTAACCGGTTTTTAAGAGCTGATATAGTCAAGGGGCTATTATTTCTCATACGTTTTCTCTTAAGTTGAATTTGAAAACTATTAGGACAGAAAGACATTAAATTTACAACATTTATCTAACGGAAACGGTGCTACTGCAATATTGTACGCACCAATGGAAACATTTAAGATGGTAACTACAAAATAAACATGCTAATAACTTATTAGGAAGAAAAATAAAAAAAATATCTGTGATACTAAGTGGTTTGAATGGTTTATCGGCATAATTTCTAATTTAAGTATACATTTAGCCATCAATTATCACTAAAAGTCAGACATAATATTCCGAATCAGCAATTTTGGATACCTTATGTGACTCAAATTTTCATATGATAGTTTTTTTCAGTATTTTAATTTTTGTTCTAAGCACCGCAAGTGCTTCCAAGTTTGTTGCTTAGCTCGAAGGAAGTCGACGGTACATACGGCGCTTTAGTACCAGTGTCGTCGCCGTCGCACGCGGGTGGCGGGTTGAGTTGAGTCGAGAACTCATTCAGGTCTTTAATGAGCATGAATTTTTTCGTGAATCCGCTGTAGAGTATCGGGTTGATGCAGCTGTTGACATATGTCAGAATTTGGAACACGAGACTTAGATACACCAGAGTCTCCCGGTGTTTCGTGAACACATGGAATTCGTTGACCATCTGGGAAATGTAGAATGGTCCGTACGAGATGATGAAACAGATAACTATCATTCCGAGCACGGCGCTCAGACGGTGCTGGTTGATGTGGCAGAGGGCGCTTCTTGGGTTTCTAAAGACAAATTTATGGGATAATTTTAAAGACTAAACAAATATCTCTATTGGAGCTATCGCTCGCGAGATCTTAATTATATTTCAGTATACTGATATAGAACCAGCAATATAAATGAAGCATCGTGCCCTGTTCTTTTGGTAACGTTTTCTACCCTTTCTTCATAGTGTACTTTATTGTCACAAAAAAAAACAGACGACACGGTCATAAGCCCGGGTTGACCTCCATATGCTTAGCTTACAATTCCATACACCAAAAATGCTTATCATACAAATCCATAGATCAAATGCATGGAAAAATGCTAAACATACAACTTTCATACAATTTCAAAAAATCAATGAAAAAAGATTCGAGCTAGTTTCTGCGGCTATTTGAACCAAATAAAACAGTCTGGTGAAGAAAAATCTATGTTTCTCTGTTTGGAAAAAAATGGTTATCATACAATTTCCATATATGAAAATTGTATGACTAGCTTTTTTTTAAGGTGACAACAAAAACTTTTTCAAGTAAAAATGAAATTTCCCCCAAATTTTTTTTTCAACTAATATTTAAAAGTTTGATGCTTTCAGTATATGATTTGTGAAAAGAACTCTAACACAATTCAAGTCGTTTCCAATGCAATTTAATGCCGTACGATCAACCATTTGCTTACTTAAGTTTTGGGTAAACCATGGTTTTAGGCTTTTGTGTTCGTTCACGAAAAAATCCCAAACATTTTGAGAAAATTTTTTTTAAAAAAATCAACTGTTTGGCTTCAGAAAAAATGATTATCTTCGAGTTTTCTGCACATTTTTGATGTTTATCGAAATGTACAAAATTGTATGACAAGCATTTTTTCATATCTGAAAGCTGTAGGATAAGCGTTTCTGGTCAACCCTGGAGAACAGCAGCTAGAAACAATTAATTAACCGGTAGACATCAGAAAGCCCTGGACAAAAGAGCACTTAAGCTATAAAAAACAAGCTAACTTTATTTAGAGACAAAACAAAACTAATGATACTGTCTAAGAAAAGCAACGTGAAATCAAACGTAAAATGAACGGAATAACCATAAGAAAGAAACAATATTTAAAATTACCGTTACGCAGGAGTTCATATTGACCCTAAGCTTTCCTTTACAAGTCATATAACAAAAACTCAAAACAGAATGTCCAGGTTTCTAAGTCTCACAGGCTGAGAAAAAATTGGCAAAACTCACTTTGGAGTAAATGACCCATAGCAATTAATTTGCCGTCAAGTAAGTTTAGGTATAATGCTCATTTTTTCGCTTTTTGGTTTTTCAACCAATTAGCCTAAATAGCCGTGATTACATCAAAATATTGAGAAAGAACAAAAGTCAAAATTGTAACCGAAGCGCTGCGAATAGGCTGCAAAACCTCGGTATTTTTGCAATAGAAAACTATTTTGTTGTAATCTTTATATTTTACTGTAAATGGAATCTGAATTGCGAAAAAAAATTCTACTAAGTTTATAAAAAAGTCACAACAAATATGAACAGTGAGAAGTTCCTGGGTATAAATGATTTTTAATTGTATTTTTTTGATGAGGTTAAGATTTACAAGGTATACTTGAGTATGGAACCAATATATTTTGAATTTCACTAAATCAAAAAACATTCGAGACAAGTTGAAAGACAACTGGAATATTGACAATATGATCCATATCTACGCCCGGATTTCAGCAGAGTTGTTTCTGTTTATTTATGAATTTCCAAACAAAAAACGGTATGAAACGGAGTAGAAACTGAGTTTTTGTTCAAGATCCATCAGCTTATTTTTTTGTTCAGATTTTCAATTTTATGCTGATCAATACCTAGCACAAACATTCCATCATTCGATGATATTTTTTGAATTTTTTGTAGTTTGTTTTCTGTTTAACTACATTTTTGTCCGGAGATTAATTTCGTTTTAGAAATCGTTCCAAATTAAAGTGAAGCAAGTCATTTTGTCAATAGACACAATTGAAAAAAAAATCAATTTGTTTTAAACCTAGCAAGTGGGGATGGTTTTCATTAATATTGGAAAGCAAACACTGCTCCATAGACTTTAAAAGGCAGCCAAAACAACCAGGGTTTTGCCCTGATTGAAGCAGTCGTACTATAGATCAAGCCGTTAAGTAAATTTCAACAAAATCGTTTCGATGTTCATAAAAGGAAAATACAGCGGGAAGTAAAACGGTAACTCAAAGTGGAAGTCAGAGTGGAAGTACAGCGAGTGGAAGTACAGCTATTTTTTCAACACAAGTCCGGTTAAAATAATAAGAAATAAGTTTCGTTCCCAAGAGAACATTCTTGAATTATTTGTGCGCAACATGGTTTTTGTTCCATATGTCGATGATTTTTCATAGGTTGGCCAACTTAGTCCTCCGGGGTGGTTTGTTTTTAGTCAAATTTTGGCAATCGAAATCATAGTTTGAGTTTAAAGTTTTCAGGGTTCGAAAATTGCTATTCTAGCTATGCTCTGGACTAATTGATGCGCTTTTTGTCAATTTATTTCATGATGCTTAAAGCCTAGTTTTATGCGTGGCGAGTATTCCGCATTACACAATCGTTCTAAAATGAATTGAGACAAGCTAATTGGTCGCATTAGTTTTTCACTACTCAAATTTTCCCACTTCATTTTTGTTATTGCCGAAATTCATGATTTTCCAATTTTTTTTCGCCAAAAATTTTTTGATTCCGAATATGTGCAATTGAGGACAGCGAACATTCAGGGTTTTACCCTGATGTACAATCACTCTTGTTAATCTTAACAGAATTTTGACACTTGATAAAGCGAGTTTCGTTTTATCTTAAATTGTATTGAAGTCTTGGGCTGATTTTTGCAAATTGTATTGAGGCTGACTTCTTGGTCTAAATATTCTACAACTACACGCTAAAAACACCATTTTCTTCTTTAAATTTCGTTTGGGAGTTTTTATTCCAAAAAGCATCTCTTTTTAGTTTCTATTAAAAAAGTTTTTTTTCCCGCATCTGAAGCAAGTGATGACGTGAAATTAGTTGGGAAGAATTTATGATTTAATGTTTTGACGGAGTTTAAATTTTTTTACAAAAATGGAAAAATATTAATGCCTCGAGTCAAAACGCAGAAAGACTTTTTACCCCCATATTATTTTAGTTCAATTACTAGAAATTAAGGTTGATCATTTTGTGACGATGAATATTCGCTTTAAGAAGAGCTTTAAGAAATGTAGGCGCATCGAAGCATAGATTGCCAAATAACTTAACTCAAATCCTTTCAACATTAATTTAACTTATAGCTTGTTGATCAAATTCTGCGTCATCAGAGCTTAAGTTCTAATGACGCAGAGTTTCGATCGAATAGCTATTAGCTAGCTAGATTTATGTTAGAGGGACTTTGAGCTGAACTAATCAGCAATTATCTTACGCTGCGCCTACGTTTTTTCCAAAGTTTCTTTTTAAAAACGCATTCTTTATTCTAAATTATCAAATTTTTTTTCATCGTCTAAATATCCTGGATTAAATTTTTTTTCTCAATTTTGAATTTAGGCGTTGATATTTTTCCACTGATCTAAAAGAAAAATGTTAACTCAGAAACCCTCAAAAATATTGAGGGTTTCTGTAAACGATAAAGCACTCCTAGAGCGCAAATACATCAGCGTTACTTTCATTTTTTTGTCACTTTCTTCTTCATTTTTATTCTGCGCCATTGGGAACTTGTGTTTAAAAAGGAGTATGGGAAATACCCCCCAAAAACAACAATTGTACAAGTTCTTTGACCATATCTCTCTTCTGGAAATTGAAACGGCCAGCTACTTCGATTTCATTTTTCGAAGAATAATACAAAAAACTTGTGCTTTTCTCCAGGGAAATTTTAGTCTTTTTGACAAATAAATTAAGACAAATTGGTTTTAAATAATTCTGAATGCAGCCCTGAGCTCAGATAATAACAAACAAGTTGCAGGCAATTGTTTCTTTTTTTTTCGATAAGGTTAATAGATTTGAGAAGTAACAGTTTGGGATAATTAATTAATTCGCGCGTTTGCCAAAAGATTGAATGCTAAAAATTAGCGTAGGCTGCAAATTGATTGGGCTCCAAAATCCTTGTGAGTTGGTATCAATTTAACATCACCCAAATATCTTCAACCGCGGAAAAATCTTCAACCACAGCGTTTAGTTTGAGTTACGTTTGCTAAGCGTGTAGATTGCTCATCTGATATTGGCTAAAAATTAGAAGTCAGAACCAGGTTAACATCCTCGCGGTAAAACGATTTGTACTGAGAATGCTAATTTGGTCCGTAATTTGAATTATGTCAATTCAAATGGATTCATATGACCGTTTAAAAATGCATAATTGTCATTTGGTACATTTAAAGTTTGTCTTTTTCTAAAATTTATTTTTTAAGCATTTTATACGCAAATATTTTTTCAGAGATGTTAAATGGCAGCGGAATAATAATGGTTTCATCCTCATACTAGCGCGGTCATGTTTAGCATTAAATTAAAAATTCGGTAGTCTCAACAACACCGTTGTCTTATTAAATTCGTATCCATAGTTATTTATGGTCCCATGAATTTTCAAACTGCATTTGCACCCATGGGAAAAAGTATTAGGTAATTCTTGTCTCCTTTTTATATCCGTTAATGCTATTGATTTAGATTAAAGTTACAGGGTGTCTGGAAGAATGAAGGAAAAAAGAATTCAAACCATGATTTATTATTTGTTAACCCTTCAGGGTGATTTTTGATGAAGTTAATGTTGTCTTCAAGTCTAGCAAATGAACCCAAAAAAAAATTTGGTCAAATGAACAACTTACTTATAATTTAACTTGAAAAAAACTTTAACAAAAAAATCAAAACTTTTGGTTTCTGAAGCTAAACTTTGCAAAGAAACACTTAAAATCAAAGATTTATTGCTGATCAGTTTTTATAACAACCTTGTTTATCTTGTCGGCTTAGCGTTCTATCGGTTTAAATCGCGCTATTGCAAAATAGTGGTTGCAGGTCGTTTTCTGCAGCTAAAGCAGCGGCTGCCAACCAGC